GAACAGTAAGATTGTCAATCTGGGTTGATTTTGCCACAGGGTGTCTACAGATTGTATCTTGGGAGCTGGATCAGACTGAGCTGGAAATTGCAAGGTGTCAGATGAGGCTAATGCTTTGCAAAATGGGAGAAATGCAAGCTGTGGGATCGCTCCCAAGGCCACAGGGGCTCCTGGCTTTTCCTGCAAAAGGCCACATTCATTCCCTGACACTTGTGCTCTCAGCAAACTAGTGGTCTTCTGTTTGCCAGCTATGGAGGCACATTGGTGATGTGCGTCTTTGATGTCCCCCAATCTAGAACATTCCTAGGACGGGCCATTCACTTGGTGGCTCAATGTTATTTCATGGCTCCATTTGGTATGGTGGCTGACTGAATCTTGTATCTAAAGCAAAAAGTAACATACACCAGTACATTGAGGGTTGATTTGTGCTCAAAGGACAGTGCGTAGAAATAGGGGTCTCAGGGAAGTCAAGAGGGCCCTGGGCCCTTTTGCTGTTATTGCCACTGGCATCTAATCCCTACCCCCACCTCCCAGAGAAATCCATGGTGCCTGCCCCCTGCAGCTGTGTTTGCTAGCTAGAGTGTGCAGGGTATATGGAGAAGGCTGGTCTCTTCTGTTTCCCATGGCAACAACTCAGCTCTGCATAAAAGCAGGTAAATGTGAGCCCAGGTTGGATACACAAATCATGGTTCTGCAGGGTGCTGGAATGGACCAAGCTCCTCACCACAGCCCTGTTCTTTTCCTGTCCCCTCCCACCCAGCTCCACAAAAATCACCTTAACACCAGAAAGAAAGATTGGGTGCTGGAGATAGTCAGCCATAGACTCCAGCTAAGGCCTCTCTGCCTGGGGCCTGATGCAAATCATAGGCTAGGAATGAAAGCAAGAAAGTAAGTAATACTTACCTATGGGAAATTGCTGTTGGTAAGAGCATGAAGCAGGCTCTCTAGGCTTTGAAAAAAAATTCTGCTGGGCTGGGAGCTGTAGCTTCTTTCTGCAACTTTAATAGGATCATAGCTCTCCAGCCCTCTAGAGATCCACTGCCCATTACTCCAGCCCCACACCAAGGAGTGCTTGTATCCCCTTACTTCCTTCACTCTTTTTTTTTAAGACCAGGTGTCAATGTATAACCCAGGCTGGAGTCACTATGTTGCCCAGGATGGCTTTGAACTCAACAATCCTGCCTCAGTCTCTTGAGTGCCAGTTTTTTCTCCACTCTTGATGGTGCTTGTCTGACCCCCTTGTCTGAAAAGCTTATTGCTGCTGCTCTGTCTACATGTGTGAGCTCAAGAAGAGACCCTAACCCTGACCATCAGTTCAACAGAGAAGGTGGGACCCACAGTGAATGTACGTGTCTTGTCCTATCCCTGGAGTAGATGGCTTATTTGAGAGTAAAGGCCTCTTGGCTTAGACCTCAGGCCGGGGTGAGCCAAGACCATGGTGCTTTGGTTTAAGGGCTAAGCACAGCTGAACCTAACCCTGGCCATAACCATCCCTAAGTGAAACATAGGAATTGATGGGGAACTCAGCACAGCTGAGTAAAGTGTTACCCCCAGGACAGGAGCCCTGCAGGCAGCTCTAGAAGGCTCAGTCAGGCTCTGCTGAATCTGCACTCCAGGCTGATGAGGATTGTGGGACTGTATTTCAACCAAATTTAGAAGCTACTCTTTAAATTGTGTTGAAAAGGGGCTGAGGAGCTGCCCATCTGACCCCTCAGTGTTACCTAAACATGGATTTTTCTCTTGGTTCTTTTGCTTACTACCTGTGTGACCTTGAACAAGTCACTTAACATGTCTGAACCTCAGTCTCATCATCTACAAAGCTGTAAACACAATGGCACAAAAAACCAAAAAGAAGTGGATTTCAATTACTGAGTACCTTATATTCGGGGAGTGTCAAGGTATTTTGGTCAAGTTTCCCTCCTTAAACCTTACCAAGAGAGAGCAGGAAGACCCTGTATTCAAATAGGAAAAATGAGGGATGGGACAGAAAATCAAAGCCACACTTGAGAGTGACAGAAGGGCAAGCTTGTGGCTTCCTGCTGTAGACATGCTGTTTTCAGCACAAAACGAAGAAGATGAGGTTAGAACTGTTGCTTATTGAGCAAACATGTCCCTCTTCCAGGACAAAATTGCAGTCATAGATCTTATTTAATTGATATTAGATTTTATCGCACAATGCTAAAATTTTAATGTGTCCATAAATCTGTTTCATACTGTCGGAGAAATATCTCTATTAAGAACACACTGTACAAGGATGAAGGCAAGAAAAGGGAAAAAAGAGCTCAGAGTTATGCATTATTAATATTTCAGGAGACAAGCAAAATGGGGCCTCCATAAAGAAAATTAGAAAACAATAAAAACAGCTGGCATTTCTGATCTGGTTGGAGAAGAATCTGCTGATTAGAGACATGCTGTCCTTACAGAATTGACTATCAATGCCGGAGGAAAAAACACTGAGCAGATAGTGAAAATGGGTTTGTGATATTTGGGTCAGTTCTTGAACAGTCACTGGCAGAAAGTGTGACATGTTTCCAGCAGGGACAAACAGAAAGCTGAGTGTCCTCACCTACCCCAGATATCTGGGTAGGGTGAGGGGAGAGGGCCTGCCAAGGAATCAGGGAAGTATGAATTCCACTGAACCATCTACTCTGTGTTATTACTGGCAAATTCCAGTAAGTGCTAGGAGCCTCAATGTCCTCTGTGTAAAGTACAAAGAGCGTCCATCTCTATTGGTTGGAAGCAGGGTGTGTGGATGCTATGAAGATTGCCTAGGATATAATAGTTAATTAATGCCCATTAGTATATCAGTCAGTCAAACAATGGTTTAGGACCAAATCTCAAAGCTCTCCCATTCCTCCCAAACTAATGGTAAAGAAAATGCAAGGTGCATCTGAATTGAGAGGCAGTAGCTCCTGGCCTGCTATAGAGCTGGGCCTTCTGCACACTTCCCACCTATCAGCCAACCCTCCTACCCGTGGAGGGAGGAGTCTGAGTAGGGTCAGAAGTGCAGGAGAAGGTGATGACTGGCTCTCTCTTCCCTGGGGACTGTGTATGAACACTGCCCACCTGCCATCCAACCTGATTCTGAGAGGAAGCAAACTTGCAGGAGAAACAGCTATGGCCTTTTCTTGATCCCAATCCTTATGACCTTTCTAATCCCCTTTCCTGTGGGATCTTGGGCTCTGTTAAGGCCAGTTCTGAGAGTGTCTCCATTCAGATTATGTGCCTAGAGATCTATAAATCCTCTATATTGTTGCTGAAGGAATTTACCCATTTGTTCCTAATTTGCTGTTTTTCTCCATCTTTTTTTGCCTTTCACTAACCCATTCAGTTGAACACAAAAAAAGAGAATTTTTTTTTCACCTCTGGCCAGTTTCTGCACTGTAACTCCCTGGTTCTAACTGAATTAAACTGCTCCATAAATCTACTCCCATCACATATGTGAGAAGGGATTTATTTGAGAGTGCTTAAACATTGATCAATGTCCCTCATTAAAATCCTATACTTATGATATGATGCTCATTAGATATTTTCATGTTAATCTAGAGAGAAAACTCTCAAATTTATTTTGCATTATTTCAAATGAACCCAAGTCTCTCTGAGTACACCACAGCCCTAAATCTGTATGACTAACAGGGCGGTGGCAGCCTTATAGCACCTTCATTCTAATTATTCCAGATCTGGGGGAAAAAAAGGGATGATTAACTCAGGGACAAAAATATTCTCACTTTCCCTGTAAGTTTTTCTTGGGGGAAATCTACTCCTAAAGTGGGACCAGAGGAGGAAGAAGCAAGGGAAGCAGAGCAGAAATACAATGGCCTCAGTCCAGCTCCACATTTAAGTTTGGATGCCCTTGGTGTGCTTTCTGGTCTGTAAAATTAGAGTGCAAGAAAATAGATGACTATTAAAGAATGCTCTTACATAATATAGTTTATTGAAATTTTAGCCTATCCATCAGCCCAAGGTTTGTTTCCAGTATTAGAGCCCATGATATAGTACCATTGCCTTTGTCAATGAACAATTACAGTCTAACAGGCTAGCACAGAATTCACTAGCTTAAAATAAATCAGCACTTATTATGCCTTATGTGTCTGTGATGAGCTGGTGAACAAAGTGGGGACATGCTGGTCAAGGTGACCTGTCTCACATGGCTGGGAATTGGGTAGCCATGGACTCAGTTTGTGGAATTGACTGCTTAAATGCTGTTCATGAACCAGAAGACCAAACTGGTGTGATAGACTGACCAATCCTTCCTCAATGCTGTCCATTCTGTAATGCCCAGAAACTGCAAATGCATTGCCTTAAGTGGTGAAAGGAACTCTACAGATGTGATTAAGTCAAGGATTTTGAGATTGGGAGATGATCCTGGATTATCTGGGTGGGCCAAATGTAATCATCAAGGTCCTTTGAAGAGGGTGGCAGAACATCAGAGTCATTGAGAGGTAAGTATAGAAGCAGAGGTTAGAGAGGAGGGAAGATGCAACCTTGCTGGCTTTGAAATGAAAGAAGCAGGGTCTATGAGCCAGAGAATACAGCCTCCTCTAGAACCTGGGAAAGGGAAGGAAATGGATTCTCCCCTGGAACCTCCAGACAAAACACAGCCCTGTGGACTCGTTTTAGAATCCTGACCTCCAGAATTCTAAGGAATAAAGAAGTGTTTTTTGGAAACACCAAGTTTGTTGTAATTTGTTACATGTCAAGAGGAGACTAACACAGCTGGACTCGTTAACATGGCAGTGGGAGGGCTCAAAGAGGGCTCAGGCCTAGCTCATGGGTGCCTGCCACTTTCTATTGGCCAAAGCAGTCCCAAAGCCAGCCCAGATTCAAGGACTGGAGAAGCACATCCTACTTTATAATGGATTCTATCTCTCTCAACTCTTGGAAAAATCTGTGAACTCCCACTGGAAAGATGCAGACAGAATCATGGCCATTTTTTTTAATATCACCTGACCCGTAAGCAACTTCTGATATTGGTTTCTTTTTCACTTCTAGGAACACAGGGAACATGGGCATCTGGACATCTGGCACTGATATATTCCTAAGTATCTGGGAGACTTATGTGTTTCCAAGAAGCCCTGGATGGACGGGCTTTATCCAGCATTTGGGAGTTTGCTGCTTCGTGGCTTTCATTTCAGTGAGCCTTCTCTCTGTGGCCTTTTACTGGTTTCTGCCATCCGTCATAGCATTCACCACCTCCTGCATGATCTTGTGTGTTCTGCTGTGCTGCTCCAAGCATGTACGATGTTTTGTTCTTCTCGTCTTTCTCTCTTGTGGCCTCCGTGAAGGCAGGAATGCTTTGATTGCAGCTGGGACAGGGATAGTGATCTTTGGACATGTGGAAAATATTTTTCACAACTTTAGAGGTCTCCTGGACAGTATGACTTGCAATCTACGGGCAAAGAGCTTTTCCATCCATTTTCCACTTTTGAAAAAATATATCGAAGCCCTTGAGTGGGTTTATGGCCTTGTCACTCCACTGAATCTATTCGACGACATTGTTTCTTGGAACCAGACTCTAGTGGTCTCTCTTTTTAGTCCCAGCCATGCCCTAGAGGCACAAATAAATGATACCAAAGGGGAAGTCCTGAGTGCATTGCACCATGTAATCACCATGACAGAGGTGTTGTCTTCCCTGGGTCAGAAGCTACTCACCCTCGCAGGGCTTCTGCTCATCCTACTCTGCACTGGTCTCTTCATGAAGCGATTTTTGGGCCCCTATGGCTGGAAGTATGAAAACATCTACATCACTAGGCAATTTGTTCGGTTTGATGAAAAGGAGAGGTATCAGCAGAGGCCCTGTGTTCTCCCACTGAATAAGAAGGAACGGAAGAAATATGTTGTGATCCCATCTTTGTGGCTGACTCCTAAAGAAAGAAAAAACCTGGGGCTGTTTTTCCTCCCCATCCTGACCCATCTCTTCATCTGGGTGCTATTCGCAGCTGTGGACTATCTGCTGTATCGGCTCATTTTCTCAATGAGCAAACAGTTCCAAAACTTGCCGGGGCTTGAGGTTCACTTGAAACTGCACAGAGAGGTAGGGGTTCCAGGCACTTCCCATAGTGTATCAAAGCTATTTGTCAGTCTTGCAAAAATCTGGAACCTCCTGAGTCCAGGCAGTGTCTTAATTCACCTTTGGGTAACTGGTACCTGGCACAGTGTCTGGCACATAGAAAGAGTATGATAGGGGTGGGTTAAATTGAAGTCCTGGTGTCAGAGTATGATTCTGTATTAGTTTCACAAGTTGGGTAGCTCTTAGCAGCTATGTGTCAACAGAGAAGATTGAGGGCTTTGTGCACCCTATCGTCTATCTTTTCTTTTCCATTGTTCCCTCTGGCAGTTTGTGATTAGGTTGACATTTCAGAGGATCTGGATATCGTCAGATGCTTACCTTTAAAAAAAAAAAAACCACAAAACTCTGGAAATTTGAAGTTGAATTGGCTGGAGCAAATGTGCATGTGCACGCACGCATGTATATGTGATACAAGCTTGGTTTAAGTACACTGTCCAATGTGATGAAAACACCAATAGCTTTCTCCACCTTTCTGATTTGCTCCCTTCTTTATCAGCTGCTGGGGAAATCACAGAAGGAAAATGGCAGCCAGGTTACTTGTACGCTGTCCTCTGAAAACTATCCTCTATGTCTCTGTCTTTCAGTGTCTGAATTGTCCTGCTCCATTCATATATTTCCTCCTCATTGCTTCTGGCTCAGCAGATCCAGTCCCCAGGCTTCTACCCTCCTAATCCTGGGCTGCTTCTCAGAGTTGATTACTTTGAGCTCTCTACTGCCCCTGAAGAATTCAGTTAATTACAAGCACCCTGTTGCTCTAGATATTTGGAGCAGGGTGAATAATGAAAATAGAGCTTCAAATGATGCCAAGCAAAAATCTTGGACATGCTTGATCTTAGGGGTGGTGGTGCGGGAAAAGGCCTCTCTCCTTCCCCTTATTCTCCTCTCTTGTCTTTCCCTCTCAATTCTCCCTTGTTCTCTTCATTTTGCTTTTCTCATGTATTTTTTTCTGCCAATATCTAATGCCCATGCCCTTTTTCAAATTCTCACTTGTTTACACAGAGGAGGAGAAAAGCAAGTTCTGCCTTCCCTTAAAATCCCCAAGATTTCCAATGAGAACTTCCTGACACACTCACCTTTAGGCTCTGCTGTGATGATGTCTAGACTGCAATGGCCCCATTGTGGGGCTCACATTTTTAGGGGAGGCCATGATGTTCACACAAAACAACAACAGGATGGTGGGCACTGGATCAGATGTGAGTCTGAGACTGCTGTGGGAGTGCCTCCTGAACTCTCTCCTGCTGTGCTTGGGAGACTGTGCCACTTCCTTCCATGTGACTGGCAATGCCCTGTGCTGATCCTAGAATGCCCTTGGAGGCTCCTGGCCTTCTCTCTTGCAGCAGATTTGCAAAGGAGAATTCAAAGGAAGAGAAACATTGGCTCAAGGTTTTGCCAATATTTCTCTCACTTTCATACAATTTTAGATAAATGTTTTAAATGCAGATGGGAAATGATCCAAGTTAAGCTAGCTCTATGGGTGGGCATTGGAGGTAAAAATAGCCATAGTTTCTAGTTATTGAACACCTTCAAGTGCCCAGCACTTGACTAAATTAACTTTTCAGGACTATCTGACACCAGAGCCTGCCTTGCGTCCATTACTCAACACTGTCTTAGCAAATCGTTTACTTAAGAGAAGTAAACATGTTTTAAATCATTGGGGTACCATTTAGAATATTGCCTGGCATTTTGAAAGAGTGAATTTGTCTTCTACATTACCCTCCACCAAGCCCAAACAAAAATGTTGACTCAATCTTTCTGAAGCCCTGACTCTCAACTGCAAAATCCCCAGTTAGATTTCGACACTAAATAGCTTCTTCCAGACTGAACACCCGCTGCTTGCTCATTGCAGTATTGCTCCTCACTGACTCAATCGATGTGTTTGTTTCTTCAGTAGTATTAAAAAGAATGCATGCCTTTGCTCTGGGGACTGAAATCTCTATTTAATTGTAGACTGACTACCTTTTTAATAAGAGGAGAGGAGAGAAGAGGCAACTCAAATGTTTCCCACTGGTTAGGCAAAGATGTGACTAGAAATTTGTGAAATGGTCCCAGGTTTGGGGATAGATCCAAGATGGATATGGGTTCTATTTTTTTTTTTTTTTTGATTAGTCATTTACTTCTTTCTGGCCCCAGGGCACTGTGGAGCTAGGGTGATAATAACTTACTAAGTATTCCAGTCTGTAAGGTTAATGCTGCATCCCCAAGTTGTTTAATTTACACTGGGAGTAGTTTATTCACAGGCAGGGTCTGGTCCGTTAATTCCTGCTTTACCAAATTAGAAAACAAATCCACCGAGAGATTAAATGACTTTCCCAGGTCAGGGGAAAGAAAGAGCTGAATCAGCAAACACTATTCTTGCTGGTAGATGGACTGGGTGGCTCAATGTCATCTTCTGCTCTCTGTGTCTGTCTGCCAAGGGCAATGGTTTGTTCTCTTGTTTTCAAACAGGAAGAAAAGCCTCCAGAGAGATGAGAAAATGCTCTATTTTGTGTGTGTGCATGTATATGTGTGTATGTTAACATCACACCTCGTCCCAAAATGCTCTATTTTGAAAACCTCCTCCAACAAGATTTCAGAGTCTCCTTCAGCAAAGGGGACTTGAAGGATCAACATATCAACCTAAAAAAATGATATCATACATTAAATAAGAAGAATCCACCCCCACCCCCAAGATCCAGAAGGTTGATTTAGAGCATGATCTAGTTCTTTGTGACCTTGTGATTGCCGAAAGGGAGCTTGTCTTGACATGCAGGTATGCCTAGGTCTTCAGGGACACTTTCATTAGCTCTCTGATGCCCTAAGTGTAGAAAGAAGTATTCCATGAAAATGGCTCATTCAGTTACATTTGTTAGACTAAACAGATTTCTCTGCCTTCGTCTCAGAGCCTTCAACAGTCCAACTTATCTGATGTACTTCTCTCAAGGGAATCTATGTTCCCACAAACCCACTTTGAAAAACATTGCCATATTTACAGATAAGACGCATCCCTTCTACTTTGCTCCAACCATAACACACATAACACTAGTTCCTCTAGCCAAAGCTCCCTTCATATTTGAAGATAAATGCTGTGTGTTGCAAGGAGGTATTGAGACTAAGGGGAAAATGTCATATATATTGATAATTTTAATTTTTCATTTTAGAAGCAAGGAATTCAAGATATCATCCATGATTCTTCCTTTAACATATCTGTATTTGAACCCAGCTGCATCCCTACACCAAGGCTCCTTCTGTCCAAGACATGGATTCTTCTCAGTATCATTCTTGTGGTATTAGTGATGCTGGGACTATTGTCCTCCATCCTGATGCAGCTTAAAATCCTGGTGTCAGCATCCTTCTACCCCAGTGTGGAGAGGGAGCGCATCCAACACCTACATGCAAAGCTACTTAAGAAAAGATCAAAGCAGCCAAAGGGAGAAGTCGAAAGGAAATTGAATCTGTACTTTACAAAGGTAAGGCCAAAATGGGGTTATAACCCATAATTAAGCTAGTGTTGAGTTTGAAAAGAAATTGGAAAGAGGATTTCAAAGCACTCCTCAATTTCACATCAGTTTTTATATCCTAGCAGTGGATAGGACATTTGGGGAAAAATAACAAATGTTCACGGCTAGGGCTCTTAGCATTGTGACTTGAATGCTGGTCCAGAGAAGTCTACCAGATATCTTTCAAAATATTGATTTCAAGGAAGTATATTTGTTCATATTGTAGAGGGGCTACTGGGAATGTCTTTATATTGGCTATTAAAGGACAATGCTCAGTAATATTTTCTTTCCCAAGTCAAGGAGAAAGAAAAAATATGGAAGTATCTGTGACTCGGTAAACTTCAAAGAATTTGCTCATTCTCCAGTGTGTGCGGTTATCAGGGCTACCAAAATGAATCTGCCTAATGAACGACAAACTGGGTCATCCTTCCTCAAGGGAGGATGGAGGAATACGTACCCTATAGGGTAAAATTCATTTGTGTCACAGACAGGAATCATTTGCATCATTGTGATCAGCCTTCAACAACTTACACAATTGGAAAATAGTTGATAGCCAATGAGAGACCAAGAAAACCCCCAAGGATAAGCTTTTCTATTCCTTTCAAAGCCTATGCAATTTTTCCTAATACTGGTAATTCCACAATGAAAAGTTTATGTAAGAGGACCTTGAAATGACTCGTGTGTACATTCACCCACTTTTCAGATTCATTTCTGGCTTCCAGTCCTGACAACAGTTAGGAAGAAACACATGAACACTGCAGCTGAAGACAATCTATGAGAGACACGGATCAGCAACTCAGCCCCATGCACCAGCCATCTTCCTTGGGTCAACTGTTGATGGTGTTGATGGTCACTGATCATGCCCAACTATAGAGGCCTGTGTCACAAGGTCCTACCAAGGGGTTGTATTTGCAGAGCTACTTTACTTCCTGTGGTGATACCTCCACACTGCATAAAGCCAAATGGATGAGGTAAATGATTTTGTGATCTTTCTTCTAGAACACATGATCTGGACTACGTTCTGGAGCAACAGGACTACCTTCAAGCCCCTTGGTGATGAATATCAGCACAGAGTTTATTCAAAGAAAAAAGAAAACAATTGAAATCTCTACTACAGTCTCACCAGCAAATGCCAAAGAGATCACACATGTATAAAGCCAGGAGGGAGAAAAAACTTCCTTGAGCACTGTTTCTATCACCTTGAAAGTACCAGAATGGGGAAATTAAAAAAAAAAATTGGTGTTACTAGGTACTGAATTCAGGGCCTTGCACTTGTAGGCAAGCACTCTACCATTTGTGCCCCTAGTCCTTTTTCTTTTTTAGTTTGTTTTTTCAGATAGGGTCTTGCGCTTTTGCTCAGGCTAATCCCTGAGCTGACCTCCAACCATGATCTTCCTATTTCTACCTCCTGAGTAGCTGGGATTACAGAAGTGTTCCACAGTGCCTGACCCTAACATTATTTTTTACTTTTTAACTTTTCATTTTGCAAACTTGCAGACTCACAAAAAAATTGCAAAAATAGTGTTGATGAAAAAATAGTATAGTGTTCCATTTGCCCTTCAACATCATCTCCAAATGTTATCATGTTACATAATCATAGTATAACTCTCAAAACCAGAAAAATAATATTGAAAAAGAGCTTACTTAGTTTTTTCCAGCTGCCCCACTAATACCCTTTCTTGGTCCTTGATTCAACCCAGAGGCCCACTTGCAAGTGGTTTTGCTGTTTCCTTACTCTCATCCAATCAGAAACGGTTCCTCAGGCTTTCTTTTTCTTTCATGACCTTCGTATCTTTGAAGAGTACTGGCCAGCAATTTTGTAAAATGTCTTATGTTTCCCATAATGAAACCCAAGCGGTACATTTTGAGTGAGGATACTACACAAGTCCTGCTGTGCCCCTCTTCCTGCCCCATAGCAGGAGGCACATGTTGCTCACAGGTGTCACCGTGGGGAAAGTTACTTTTGATCATTGGGTTAAGGTGTGATCCACTGGCTTCTTCCACTATAATTAATTAACCATTTTTCCCTTCGTAAGCAGTAAGTATCTTGTGGAGAAATACATACTTTGAGACTGCAGTCCTCCTGTTTCTCATTATACTTTTACCCCCTAATTTTAGCAACCACAGATACAAAAATTATTACCATGGTGATCAAAGAGCGATTTTCTATTTTCACAATTTCTTCTATAAATCTTAATTGTAACCCTACTATAATGAACAGCTACTCACCAAAAGCTACTTTTTTTGAGGAGTAAACTTTGGTTTTGGCATAAGAGTAGTCATTTTGCACATCCTATCTCATTAGTGCTTCACAACAACCCTGAGAGGTAGGTGTTACTGTTATTTCCATTTTATAGATCAGGAAACTTCAGGGAGGTAGGAAAAGTATTCTAGAAAATGAAGAGCCAAAGAAGGACTGCCTTCAGAGGCTCTGGGATGTGTGCCCTTGTAGAAGACTTTCAGTTACATGCATCTCTTTCCCCTAATACTTGCTGGGGAAAGGACTATTTCCCAGCTCAGCAGGGCCATGGTAACAGTGACTCTGACTCTCAGTGGGATCTCACAAGGTCCCAAGAGGTTCTCAGATGTTGGAATCCAAGGACAACCAGTCAGTACCTGCTGGTACTTTGAAAACTGGGACAGAGCATGGTCAGGGCTCTCTCCCTCAGTCTGCAGCCATGGCTTCAGAACCCCTGCCACCTTCACTCCTCTTACAGCACTACATCTTTATCACCCTTTCAATAACTTTTCAAGGCAGGCATCTTATAGAAATGGGTCAAAAAATGGCCTTTGTGTAGTGACCTCTAAGTGGTTTATTTCTTCGCTGCCAGCTGAGACCTACTAGCTCAAAAGCCTGCTCGCCAGTATCAAATTTTCACATGTTCAATTCTTTTAATAATAACTGCAAGTAAGTAGATGTTTAGCTCTCTAGAGGCTTCCCACCTTGCATATGCTTAGAAATCTCACCACACATCTGTTGGCAATCAATAAGAAATAGCTTTGTGGTTCTAAGACAATTGCCCACGACAGCCCTGGCAGTTCTAGCCATGCTGCTAAGCAAACTCACCCAGGTATGCAACCTGTTCCCTCAATCCTTCTCTCTCTGGGGTAGGGATGGGGGTAGTTCTCTTAACCACTTCTCTGTTGGGTGGAACTGCCTTGATGCCTCTGGGTGGTCACATGTTATGAGAGACCTCCTCCTCCACACAGCCTTATCCAAGAGCCACCTGACAAAGCTTATTGTGTTAGTGCCTCTCAAGGTTATGACTTTTTCCTTGATCAATCCCCTACAAGCTATTATCTCTATTTTTATTGTTATGAGAATGAGGTGTGGGCAGGCCAGGTAAGTCCTTAGCATGTCATAGAATTACAATGCAGATTTGTGGGAGTCTATTGACTTGGCTTAAGTCAGTTAAGAATGGAGAGATCAACTTGCATGATCAGTGGTTCCCAACGTGGTCCCAAGCAGTAATTCCTAAGGCATGTGAGTGGAGTTCTAAATCTCTATGGTTTTAAAACTTCTATGAACCCAGAGACTCTGAGGTCACTCTTCTGGGATGGGCCCTGGCATGGGCACGTTTAAAGATCTGTGGTGATCTAATAGACAGCTAGAATTGAGAATCACTGCTCCAAGGACTCTTCTAACTACAGGTCTTCAGTGGTGAAGTTTCATTAACAGCAGGAGCCTACATTAGAAATGTGTCTGATTCAGCCAGCCCCTCTGCTCTTTCATAAAAAGATGGATGTGGAGAACATTATAGTAGATTTACATGAAATTCATAAGGCAGATTGGGATAATGCAAAAAATCTTTGAGAAACTCTATAATAAGGAGATATCTTTTACCTGTGTCACCCAGAATTAGACCATGGAATAATTGTATCTGTAATAATCACTAACATTGTGTAGGGTCAGTTCTAAGCCCACGCTTGGGTAAATGCTCATACCATTGGTATGAGTTGCAAACAAAAAAGGTTTGGAGAAGGCAAAGATGCATTTGTAATTTCGATTTGTGTAAACATTGATGTTTTATGCTTCACAATGTTTTTTGTGTGTGTTTGTTTGTTTTTGCTGTACTGGGGATTGAAAGTGGGGCCTCTTGCATGCTAGGCAAGCACTCTACTACTGAGCTACATCCCCAACTCCTGCATCTTCTAAACAAATAAATGTATGCATTAATAAACTTATATAATGTATGAATGTGTGTATTCATTTTTTATTTATTTTTTTACAGAGAAGAGAATGACCCCACATTAATTAATCGACCCATGAAAAGAATTAAATGGGTCAGTTTTTAGAGAGAATTGGTTGCTTTTAAGCTTGTAATTCCTATTAGTTAATTACCTAGCCAACATCAGCAACATCTAGAGCAAACATTGAAACAGAAGGTGCTAGGCTAGTGATGTCCAGAAGTTCACCTTGGCCCCTGCCGTTAGGACACTTCCAATCTAATCAATAAAAATATATGTGGCTTTAGATAAGTGTCAAGGGTACAGGACAAGCAGTGTTAGGCCACTGTGTCTGGGGTCTCTGCCTCTCTTATCACAAATATACAGTTCATGCTCTTCTCTGTAGGAAGGGCACCACAGGCAACGGTAAAGGGTCTTCATTTCCTTGAGCTCAAATCTACCTTTCAAAAGCAGCAATCTCTTGTTTCCAATGACTTTTAGCAAGTTACACAATTTGCCCTTCATCTGAAGGGCTCCTCCCTGGGAAAGGCAGATGATAAGAAGGTGCTGTCACAAAAGGCAGTTTTGATCTTGAAAACAGGATTTAGACTTGCTCATTATGGCCAATCTAACTTGGACATAAAATGCTTATTTAATTGCAGCTTATCCACTTTAGATTTAAATGAATGGTGAATTAAATTCCTTGAGACATCTATTGTGAGTTGTGCTCTGTTAATCTTGTACAGGCAGAAAGATCCTGTCCAAGATAATTTCATAAAGCTTTCTTTTTTTATCTTTACTTTTAATGGTCTATGAAAGAAAGTCTATTTCATTAAAGTCTAAGTCCCCATTTCTCATCTCACGAATCCCAATTTGGTGACCATATTTTGCTAGGGTCTTTTAGTGCCATTCTCCATATTTGCTGTTAGTTGAGTTTCTTTTTGAGAGTAAGATGTAGTCATGCTAAGCACTTTCATAGAAATAGATTTCTTTCTTTGTTCTGCTTGGGATGTTAGACGTTATTGTTCCTCCTCTTATCTTCTTTCTCTGCAGAGCCTAATCAATCATAATTAAAATATGGGATATATTCAAGTCTTCACACATCATATATTTTTGTCTTAATTCACCTAAGACAGAGAAACACATTTCTTACTTGAAGGGAATAGGAATTCGCTTTCTCACCCAAAGCTAGTAATAGTGATTTCTCAATACACACAATTGAGGTCAATTACTTAAATTATGCTATGGAAGAGAGAGAAATTGGCTGATCAAATGAGTGGGGGTGGAATGTATACTGAAAAGCCTGTTACATTAGGGTTAGATCACCCTGACACTATGCAAAGGAAAGATTTAAATTAACATATAGCTGAGACTCCCACATGTCCTGGTTCAAAGCCCCTTTTGGTTTTAATCCACAGTGGTTGTGATCACACTTTTTAAAGCTGGAGAGCAAAGGGAATGAGTAACAGGATAGAGGCAACATTGTTTGTATCTTCCAAATTTTCAGTATGTGTGTGAATTTCATCTGGATACTCAGAGGGCAGGCAAAAGTCAGGGTTTGGATTTGTCATTGCAGCAGTTTGTAAAAATGCAAAAGGAAAGTGAAAATGACAGTGACAGAAATAAAAGTATAGCTAGCTACAGT